TATCAGTTATCACAGAGGAGTATGACAAAAGTCTAATTGTATAACTGACAATACAAATATTGTGTCATAGGTACAACTATACATTATTATTTCAATGTCATTCGGAGGTGAAAATTTAGATGATAGACAGATCTGGACGATTTAAAATAATTAATATATGTATATATATGTATAATAATAACAAGTGTTTTCAATATAAAAAGTCAAAAACTATTATACACACAGATGTTATTGAAAAACTTTTTGATATGAACACAATTACATAAATTTATGGCCAACTACTAATATAATAACTATATTGTTATTCTAGTGTGTACGTGTTGAGCTTTAGACGTGTGTATCCAACACATTATTCGAATAGTTTGATAATAATATTACAAAAATACAAACCAGCATAACATAATGAATCATTTTTCAATGTTTTTGTTAGTACTCGTAACAAGCGCGTTATCGAAAAATGAAAAGTTAAACTTTTTTCCTAATCTTCCAGTTGTAAGTAACTTTAATAATTCATCGAAATAATATTTTTCACGTGCGCATATTATATCATTCATAATATAACTATGGATTTTTACCTTAAATAATAACAGGGAGAATACAAGGTGTATCCCAGAGCTGTTATACAATGTAAACAAAAACAACATCTTTTTGAATTTAATTTTTATTTGAATAGAATATCAAGTAACACTTCTGAAGTCAAAGGTAATATTACATGTATGAAACCATTGGACGATTCTGACAATGTAAGTATGTTTATACTGGTTTTTTTTTAAAACTGAATTGTGCCGTCTTGCAAAAAATGACTAAGTGAAATTTTAACTGTTCGTAAACTATAATATTTATGTTCATTAATATTCATCACAATAGCTTGAAAAATCAAAAACTATTGAAAATGTGTGTTTTAAAATATCCACGGAAAGGTGTAGAATTTAAAAAAAATTATTTAATCTTTTCGTTGAATTTAAGAAGATATAGAAAAAATGAAGAAAATAAATAACCGACTAACTTCTTTATCAAATGAATAAACCCGACAAACGAACTTACTCAAACCACTTGGTCAAAATCAAATATACGAAAAGATGAATAATATTAATAGGAATAATTTAATATTATTTTGAATTTTATTAAACAAAACAGCAAATTATTGAAATCGTACCCATAAAAAAATAAACGTGATAATATATTATAATTACTATAAGAAACCGTTGGACGATTAACCTGATGTTAAGTTTAAACATTGATTTAACAAGATGTATTAAATATTAATTCAGTTAATTTTAATCTAGGGGTCAGAAAACTTTTTTAATAATTTTCAATTTGGTAAATTACTAAAAATATTAGTACTCCATATATACGTAACTAGGTATTACAATTATAATCGCAAAATGTTATTAATTTTTAATTTGAATTCACTAGGCGACTATCATATCAGTTAGTATTAAACCGGACATCCGTCTGTAACTTTGAAAATCGTGATTATAATTTGTATTAATCAGACGATTCATCGTAATATTACTAATAGTTATTTATCGGCTTAAATAATATTATATTATACTTATAAAATAAAATATATATATATGTGTAACTTTGTTTAAAGATAGTAATAATCAGTGCTGTCAAAGATTCCATCGGTGGTTGGAAAGACAATGCTTTCATTTACAAAATTTCCAAAGCATGTTCAACGTTTGAGAAAGTATTTGGTAACTTGAGAACCACACTCAATCTAACCACAAAAAATAATAATTTTAATCGGAATTGTCCATATCCTGCAGTAAATATAATTCGCGTAATGTTATACTTTAATATATAATATTCAACAAATATATTTACGTTTAGGGTCTATATGTATCAAATGGTTTTGATTTTACAAGTTTCATCGCAAATGCCAATATACCAAAACAATATTTTTACGGAATTTACAAAGCTCGATTTGAATTGTTCGATAAAAAAAACAATCAAATTGGTTGTGTAATTTTTGTCGTAGACGTTAAACGTCCCTGGGAAACCGAATAAGTCTATGTGTTGTTTTTATAAGTTTTAATATTGTTGCTTGTTTACATAATACAAATTTACAACACATTTTTACGACACTGGAAAATATATTGATTTATCGAACTTTTCACCTTTTATATTATACATATATAACATGTTTAAAAAATAAATTCAAATAAAATTACTACCGATTTTTAGTTAATAATTGTATGATTATAGAAACGTTAGATAACTGTATTCATTTACCAAAATTGTATTTTCCAACTATACTTGTGTCACACATAATTTAGTATATTGAGTATTGTTAAGTTAACGATCGAGTTGACATAATGTATATTTAATAGTTTTGTCACCAATAATATCTCTTAAAAAAGTATTGCTACCTAAGTTCGATACACGTTAATGCACCATACTAAACGCGCGTGTATCTCAATAAAGCTATTGTGGCGGTAAGGCAATATGCTCCAAATCTAAAAGGAATAAAGGTAAACAAAAAAAAAAAAATAATGAAAAATAAAAAAGTTGTACGGGCGACTCCGGGCGGGACTGTCCAGCCAGTATTAATATAATATGTGACATAGTTAATAACGAAGTTTTTTGACGGGAACCGTCAGTATCCAATAGTGAAGGTATAAACAATGATCCATCACAAAACTTGTGAGCATTGTAAAAGGAAATTTTTGATCATGAATAGTTTTAATACGTACATCCCGACATTAAATTACGCTCATTAAATTTAAGTATACTCACGGTACACAACATTGAATATACTCTCGAACATTTTCCATGCGCATTCTCAGTGATTTTTAAATTATACTTTACAGCACGATTTTTTAAATTTTTTGTGCCATTTTTTAATTTCATTTTGTTAAAATATACCTGATATTAATACTATAGCTATCATTCGAGTAAC